TCAGAATTTTCACTTTCGAAATTGAGGAAATTCATCTGTAAAATTTCCCAGAAACAAACATGGGGAATTAGCTCAAATGGTAGAGCGCTCGCTTAGCATGCGAGAGGTAGCGGGATCGATGCCCGCATTCTCCAGCCTTGCCTTTTGTGCCCTCACAGGCGTGCTCCTGCATTCACTGCCGAGGCGGACTAGGACGCGGAGTCAATTGTGCAATACTGTGCGTGTTTCTGAGCAGAAGAGACTCTTCGCTGCCTTTATCTCAGAGGATAGCTCTGACGTGTATTCCCTCTGAGCCCTAGCAATGTCTCAATTTTAGTTTGAAGTCAAAGTCAACTAACACTATGCATCATTAGTTTTACTTGTCCCAGGAGTAGTGAAAGCAAGGACAGCTGCAGGGTCATTGCTGAAATTAAGATAAGGTTCAATTGCACTTGTTTTACAAGACCTGCAAAATGTCATTGCAGACATTTGGAATTGCGTTCTACAGCACAAACATTTTCAGGCCATTAATTGCCATTTCCTCCTCGTTAGTATAGTGGTGAGTATCCCCGCCTGTCACGCGGGAGACCGGGGTTCGATTCCCCGACGGGGAGTTGGAGGTTTTTTCCCAGTCACTGTCAAAACAAAGAAAAAATGCTGACTCATTTTCGTTGTGAATGACATTGTGAAACCTAAAGTCTGTCCTTTCAACACCATTGCACATGGCCATAAAAAGTGCTTTTTTCACAAGCTGAGCATTGAGCACTGATATTTCTCCAGGCTAAAAGTGGTTTTCAACATACAGCTCTGCCATGAATCCCATTCTTGGCCAGTGGCTTTTCGCTTTTCTTTCTTGCTCAGCACTACATCATTCTGTTCGTGCAGCCCACAGTGCATTCGTCTTTTTGTGCAGCTGACTTTTTTGTTCACTAGGCAAGTTTAACGACTGGAGTCATCTTGTTTTTTGCACAAGAGAAAGTAAAAACAGCACTCAATCTGGGAATGTGGAGAGAGGGCCCTCATCCTGCCAAAACCGGGATTGAACCAGGGACCTTTAGATCTTCAGTCTAACGCTCTCCCAACTGAGCTATTTCAGCAATGCTGCTTTTCATTTTCTGATACCTCCAAATGGTGGAAATCTCTGCGAAGACAGCATTTTCTCAAAAAACCGTCTTTCTGAGGAAATTTCAGGCTATTTTTCAGCAGTTTGATTACCTGCAAATGGTAAAATCATTCATCCTCCAGCAAACCTTCAAGAGTGCCCCTGAGATTCAGTTATCGCATGGCTCATACCAAGTAAGTGAGCTACCACAGCTGCCGCATGAAAAGCTCAAACAGTGCCCTCACAGCAGTTTCTCATTTGGTATCATTTCATGCTCAAGATGGAGCCTTGATTTATTTCCATCCCACAAAAACACAGTGCGGTGGTCTTGTCTATTTCCATGATGCTTTGCACTTTTTATTAATCTCATAGCTTAATAAAGTTTTGCTCTCCTCGTTACTTGTCCCAACGTAGGCTTGCAAGTTTAGTTTATATAAATATGGCATCAAAGACCTTGAGTCATTCGTCATACGCTTTCAACATCCAGCTTGCATCGTCCCAGATAAAATCATTCACAATGCTGAATTTGAGCTGAAGTTTCTGTTGGCACTGTTTAATCCTGTCCTGGAAAGATGAATGCAGAAACTTGCAATGTAATGTTGGCGCAACCATGTCCCACCCCGAACATTTTGTGTATTCTTCTTGTCGTTGGCTGTCAGATCAAGCATCTGTCCATGCTTTGAGGGTAAAAATGACGGAGAAGCCCTGTCCAAATACAAAAGTGAAAGAATAAAAATTGGGCAAGGACTCCGAGATCAATCAGAATTTTCACTCGAAATTGAGGAAATTCATCTGTAAAATTTCCCAGAAACAAACATGGGGAATTAGCTCAAATGGTAGAGTGCTCGCTTAGCATGCGAGAGGTAGCGGGATCAATGCCCGCATTCTCCAGCCTTGCCTTTTGTGCCCTCACAGGCGTGCTCCTGCATTCACTGCCGAGGCGGACTAGGACGCGGAGTCAATTGTGCAATACTGTGCGTGTTTCTGAGCAGAAGAGACTCTTCGCTGCCTTTATCTCAGAGGATAGCTCTGACGTGTATTCCCTCTGAGCCCTACTGCTGGAGCACTGAAGCCCGCCAGGACCCCTGGCATTGACAGCAATGATGAACAGCAAGCAATGTCTCAATTTTAGTTTGAAGTCAAAGTCAACTAACACTATGCATCATTAGTTTTACTTGTCCCAGGAGTAGTGAAAGCAAGGACAGCTGCAGGGTCATTGCTGAAATTAAGATAAGGTTCAATTGCACTTGTTTTACAAGACCTGCAAAATGTCATTGCAGACATTTGGAATTGCGTTCTACAGCACAAACATTTTCAGGCCATTAAGTGCCATTTCCTCCTCGTTAGTATAGTGGTGAGTATCCCCGCCTGTCACGCTGGAGACGGGGTTCGATTCCCGGACGGGAGTTGGAGGTTTTTTTCCCAGTCACTGTCAAAACAAAGAAAAAATGCTGACTCATTTTCGTTGTGAATGACATTGTGAAACCTAAAGTCTGTCCTTTCAACACCATTGCACATGGCCTGGGGATAAAAAAGTGCTTTTTTCACAAGCTGAGCATTGAGCACTGATATTTCTCCAGGCTAAAAGTGGTTTTCAACATACAGCTCTGCCATGAATCCCATTCTTGGCCAGTGGCTTTCGCTTTTCTTTCTTGCTCAGCACTACATCATTCTGTTCGGCAGCCCACAGTGCATTCGTCTTTTTTTGTGCAGCTGACTTTTTTTTGTTCACTAGGCAAGTTTAACGACTGGAGTCATCTTGTTTTTTGCACAAGAGAAAGTAAAAACAGCACTCAATCTGGGAATGTGGAGAGAGGGCCCTCATCCTGCCGAAACCCGGGATTGAACCAGGGACCTTTAGATCTTCAGTCTAACGCTCTCCCAACTGAGCTATTTCGGCAATGCTGCTTTTCATTTTCTGATACCTCCAAATGGTGGAAATCTCTGCGAAGACAGCATTTTCTCCAAAAACCGTCTTCTCTGAGGAAATTTCAGGCTATTTTCAGCAGTTTGATTACCTGCAAATGGTAAAATCATTCATCCTCCAGCAAACCTTCAAGAGTGCCCCCTGAGATTCAGTTATCGCATGGCTCATACCAAGTAAGTGAGCTACCACAGCTGCCGCATGAAAAGCTCAAACAGTGCCCTCACAGCAGTTTCTCATTTGGTATCATTTCATGCTCAAGATGGAGCCTTGATTTATTTCCATCCCACAAAACACAGTGCGGGTGGTCTTGTCTATTTCCATGATGCTTTGCACTTTTTTATTAATCTCATAGCTTAATAAAGTTTTGCTCTCCCTCGTTACTTGTCCCAACGTAGGCTTGCAAGTTTAGTTTATATAAATATGGCATCAAAGACCTTGAGTCATTCGTCATACGCTTTCAACATCCAGCTTGCATCGTCCCAGATAAAATCATTCACAATGCTGAATTTGAGCTGAAGTTTCTGTTGGCACTGTTTAATCCTGTCCTGGAAAGATGAATGCAGAAACTTGCAATGTAATGTTGGCGCAACCATGTCCCACCCCGAACATTTTGTGTATTCTCCTTGTCGTTGGCTGTCAGATCAAGCATCTGTCCATGCTTTGAGGGTAAAAATGACGGAGAAGCCCTGTCCAAATACAAAAGTGAAAGAATAAAAATTGGGCAAGGACTCCGAGATCAATCAGAATTTTCACTCGAAATTGAGGAAATTCATCTGTAAAATTTCACAAAAACAAACATGGGTAATTAGCTCAAATGGTAGAGCGCTCGCTTAGCATGCGAGAGGTAGCGGGATTGATGCCCGCATTCTCCAGCCTTGCCTTTTTGCCCTCACAGGCGTGTGCTCCTGCATTCACTGCCGAGGCGGACTAGGACGCCGGAGTCAATTGTGCAATACTGTGCGTGTTTCTGAGCAGAAGAGACTCTTTCGCTGCCTTTATCTCAGAGGATAGCTCTGACGTGTATTCCCTCTGAGCCCTACTGCTGGAGCACTGAAGCCCGCCAGGACCCCTGGCATTGACAGCAATGATGAACAGCAAGCAATGTCTCAATTTTAGTTTGAAGTCAAAGTCAACTAACACTATGCATCATTAGTTTTACTTGTCCCAGGAGTAGTGAAAGCAAGGACAGCTGCAGGGTCATTGCTGAAATTAAGATAAGGTTCAATTGCACTTGTTTTATTAAGACCTGCAAAATGTCATTGCAGACATTTGGAATTGCGCTTCTACAGCACAAACATTTTCAGGCCATTAATTGCCATTTCCTCCTCGTTAGTATAGTGGTGAGTATCCCCGCCTGTCACGCGGGGAGACCGGGTTCGATTCCCGGACGGGGAGTTGGAGGTTTTTTCCCAGTCACTGTCAAAACAAAGAAAAAATGCTGACTCATTTTCGTTGTGAATGACATTGTGAAACCTAAAGTCTGTCCTTTCAACACCATTGCACATGGCCTGGGGATAAAAAGTGCTTTTTTTCACAAGCTGAGCATTGAGCACTGATATTTCTCCAGGCTAAAAGTGGTTTTCAACATACAGCTCTGCCATGAATCCCATTCTTGGCCAGTGGCTTTCGCTTTTTCTTTCTTGCTCAGCACTACATCATTCTGTTCGTGCAGCCCACAGTGCATTCGTCTTTTTTTGTGCAGCTGACTTTTTTTTTGTTCACTAGGCAAGTTTAACGACTGGAGTCATCTTTTTTTTTGCACAAGAGAAAGTAAAAACAGCACTCAATCTGGGAATGTGGAGAGAGGGCCCTCATCCTGCGAAAACCGGGATTGAACCAGGGACCTTTAGATCTTCAGTCTAACGCTCTCCCAACTGAGCTATTTCGGCAATGCTGCTTTTCCTTTTCTGATACCTCCAAATGGTGGAAATCTCTGCGAAGACAGCATTTTCTCCAAAAACCGTCTTCTCTGAGGAAATTTCAGGCTATTTTTGAGCAGTTTGATTACCTGCAAATGGTAAAATCATTCATCCTCCAGCAAACCTTCAAGAGTGCCCCCTGAGATTCAGTTATCGCATGGCTCATACCAAGTAAGTGAGCTACCACAGCTGCCGCATGAAAAGCTCAAACAGTGCCCTCACAGCAGTTTCTCATTTGGTATCATTTCATGCTCAAGATGGAGCCTTGATTTATTTCCATCCCACAAAACACAGTGCGGTGGTCTTGTCTATTTCCATGATGCTTTGCACTTTTTTTTTTTTTTTATAGCTTAATAAAGTTTTGCTCTCCCTCGTTACTTGTCCCAACGTAGGCTTGCAAGTTTAGTTTATATAAATATGGCATCAAAGACCTTGAGTCATTCGTCATACGCTTTCAACATCCAGCTTGCATCGTCCCAGATAAAATCATTCACAATGCTGAATTTGAGCTGAAGTTTCTGTTGGCACTGTTTAATCCTGTCCTGGAAAGATGAATGCAGAAACTTGCAATGTAATGTTGGCGCAACCATGTTCCACCCCGAACATTTTGTGTATTCTCCTTGTCGTTGGCTGTCAGATCAAGCATCTGTCCATGCTTTGAGGGTAAAAATGACGGAGAAGCCCTGTCCAAATACAAAAGTGAAAGAATAAAAATTGGGCAAGGACTCCGAGATCAATCAGAATTTTCACTCGAAATTGAGGAAATTCATCTGTAAAATTTCCCAGAAACAAACATGGGGAATTAGCTCAAATGGTAGAGCGCTCGCTTAGCATGCGAGAGGTAGCGGGATCGATGCCCGCATTCTCCAGCCTTGCCTTTTGTGCCCTCACAGGCGTGCTCCTGCATTCACTGCCGAGGCGGACTAGGACGCTGGAGTCAATTGTGCAATACTGTGCGTGTTTCTGAGCAGAAGAGACTCTTTCGCTGCCTTTATCTCAGAGGATAGCTCTGACGTGTATTCCCTCTGAGCCCTACTGCTGGAGCACTGAAGCCCGCCAGGACCCCTGGCATTGACAGCAATGATGAACAGCAAGCAATGTCTCAATTTTAGTTTGAAGTCAAAGTCAACTAACACTATGCATCATTAGTTTTACTTGTCCCAGGAGTAGTGAAAGCAAGGACAGCTGCAGGGTCATTGCTGAAATTAAGATAAGGTTCAATTGCACTTGTTTTACAAGACCTGCAAAATGTCATTGCAGACATTTGGAATTGCGTTCTACAGCACAAACATTTTCAGGCCATTAATTGCCATTTCCTCCTCGTTAGTATAGTGGTGAGTATCCCCGCCTGTCACGCGGGGAGACGGGGTTCGATTCCCGACGGGAGTTGGAGTTTTTCCCAGTCACTGTCAAAACAAAGAAAAAATGCTGACTCATTTTCGTTGTGAATGACATTGTGAAACCTAAAGTCTGTCCTTTCAACACCATTGCACATGGCCTGGGGATAAAAAAGTGCTTTTTTTTCACAAGCTGAGCATTGAGCACTGATATTTCTCCAGGCTAAAAGTGGTTTTCAACATACAGCTCTGCCATGAATCCCATTCTTGGCCAGTGGCTTTCGCTTTTCTTTCTTGCTCAGCACTACATCATTCTGTTCGTGCAGCCCACAGTGCATTCGTCTTTTTTTGTGCAGCTGACTTTTTGTTCACTAGGCAAGTTTAACGACTGGAGTCATCTTGTTTTTTGCACAAGAGAAAGTAAAAACAGCACTCAATCTGGGAATGTGGAGAGAGGGCCCTCATCCTGCCGAAACCCGGGATTGAACCAGGGACCTTTAGATCTTCAGTCTAACGCTCTCCCAACTGAGCTATTTCAGCAATGCTGCTTTTCATTTTTTGATACCTCCAAATGGTGGAAATCTCTGCGAAGACAGCATTTTCTCCAAAAACCGTCTTCTCTGAGGAAATTTCAGGCTATTTTCAGCAGTTTGATTACCTGCAAATGGTAAAATCATTCATCCTCCAGCAAACCTTCAAGAGTGCCCCCTGAGATTCAGTTATCGCATGGCTCATACCAAGTAAGTGAGCTACCACAGCTGCCGCATGAAAAGCTCAAACAGTGCCCTCACAGCAGTTTCTCATTTGGTATCATTTCATGCTCAAGATGGAGCCTTGATTTATTTCCATCCCACAAAACACAGTGCGGTGGTCTTGTCTATTTCCATGATGCTTTGCACTTTTTTATTAATCTCAGAGCTTAATAAAGTTTTGCTCTCCCTCGTTACTTGTCCCAACGTAGGCTTGCAAGTTTAGTTTATATAAATATGGCATCAAAGACCTTGAGTCATTCGTCATACGCTTTCAACATCCAGCTTGCATCGTCCCAGATAAAATCATTCACAATGCTGAATTTGAGCTGAAGTTTCTGTTGGCACTGTTTAATCCTGTCCTGGAAAGATGAATGCAGAAACTTGCAATGTAATGTTGGCGCAACCATGTTCCACCCGAACATTTTGTGTATTCTCCTTGTCGTTGGCTGTCAGATCAAGCATCTGTCCATGCTTTGAGGGTAAAAATGACGGAGAAGCCCTGTCCAAATACAAAAGTGAAAGAATAAAAATTGGGCAAGGACTCCGAGATCAATCAGAATTTTCACTCGAAATTGAGGAAATTCATCTGTAAAATTTCCCAGAAACAAACATGGGGAATTAGCTCAAATGGTAGAGCGCGCTTAGCATGCGAGAGGTAGCGGGATCGATGCCCGCATTCTCCAGCCTTGCCTTTTTGTGCCCTCACAGGCGTGCTCCTGCATTCACTGCCGAGGCGGACTAGGACGCTGGAGTCAATTGTGCAATACTGTGCGTGTTTCTGAGCAGAAGAGACTCTTCGCTGCCTTTATCTCAGAGGATAGCTCTGACGTGTATTCCCTCTGAGCCCTACTGCTGGAGCACTGAAGCCCGCCAGGACCCCTGGCATTGACAGCAATGATGAACAGCAAGCAATGTCTCAATTTTAGTTTGAAGTCAAAGTCAACTAACACTATGCATCATTAGTTTTACTTGTCCCAGGAGTAGTGAAAGCAAGGACAGCTGCAGGGTCATTGCTGAAATTAAGATAAGGTTCAATTGCACTTGTTTTATTAAGACCTGCAAAATGTCATTGCAGACATTTGGAATTGCGTTCTACAGCACAAACATTTTCAGGCCATTAAGTGCCATTTCCTCCTCGTTAGTATAGTGGTGAGTATCCCCGCCTGTCACGCGGGAGACCGGGGTTCGATTCCCGGACGGGGAGTTGGAGGTTTTTTCCCAGTCACTGTCAAAACAAAGAAAAAATGCTGACTCATTTTCGTTGTGAATGACATTGTGAAACCTAAAGTCTGTCCTTTCAACACCATTGCACATGGCCTGGGGATAAAAAAGTGCTTTTTTCACAAGCTGAGCATTGAGCACTGATATTTCTCCAGGCTAAAAGTGGTTTTCAACATACAGCTCTGCCATGAATCCCATTCTTGGCCAGTGGCTTTCGCTTTTCTTTCTTGCTCAGCACTACATCATTCTGTTCGTGCAGCCCACAGTGCATTCGTCTTTTTTTTTGTGCAGCTTTTTTTTGTTCACTAGGCAAGTTTAACGACTGGAGTCATCTTGTTTTTTGCACAAGAGAAAGTAAAAACAGCACTCAATCTGGGAATGTGGGAGAGGGCCCTCATCCCAAAACCCGGGATTGAACCAGGGACCTTTAGATCTTCAGTCTAACGCTCTCCCAACTGAGCTATTTCGGCAATGCTGCTTTTCATTTTCTGATACCTCCAAATGGTGGAAATCTCTGCGAAGACAGCATTTTCTCCAAAAAACCGTCTTCTCTGAGGAAATTTCAGGCTATTTTGAGCAGTTTGATTACCTGCAAATGGTAAAATCATTCATCCTCCAGCAAACCTTCAAGAGTGCCCCCTGAGATTCAGTTATCGCATGGCTCATACCAAGTAAGTGAGCTACCACAGCTGCCGCATGAAAAGCTCAAACAGTGCCCTCACAGCAGTTTCTCATTTGGTATCATTTCATGCTCAAGATGGAGCCTTGATTTATTTCCATCCCACAAAACACAGTGCGGTGGTCTTGTCTATTTCCATGATGCTTTGCACTTTTTTATTAATCTCAGAGCTTAATAAAGTTTTGCTCTCCTCGTTACTTGTCCCAACGTAGGCTTGCAAGTTTAGTTTATATAAATATGGCATCAAAGACCTTGAGTCATTCGTCATACGCTTTCAACATCCAGCTTGCATCGTCCCCAGATAAAATCATTCACAATGCTGAATTTGAGCTGAAGTTTCTGTTGGCACTGTTTAATCCTGTCCTGGAAAGATGAATGCAGAAACTTGCAATGTAATGTTGGCGCAACCATGTTCCACCCGAACATTTTGTGTATTCTCCTTGTCGTTGGCTGTCAGATCAAGCATCTGTCCATGCTTTGAGGGTAA